AGTTTCACCTGTGCCCTGTTTCCCTGGTCTTTGTTAATTAGCCTCACCTGTCCTGTGTTAGTCTCGTTACACCTTAGTATTTTAGTTCCTGCTTCTGTTCAGTTCCTCAGTGGTTTATTGTTGTTGTTTGATGGTTGCGATGTTTGATTTTGATATTTCCCGTGCTCAACGTGTATTCGGTTTTTGTTATTTAGTCTTGTTTAATCTCCTTCAGTTTTGACCCCTCGTGGTCCTTAGTTTTTGGTTCGTTCTTTCTTGTGTTTTTTTTTTAGTTCAGTTAAATAAAGCCCGTTTTGTGTTCTTTGAGCTGCAAGTGGGTCGTCCATCCTTTTTTCTGTGTGCACTATGCCACGTTCCCACACCCGAGCCGCCCGGATCATTGACAGGCGTGGTGCACATGTTCCTCTTTCCTGAGGGGGAGAGAATGAGGATAAGGACCCCCCCCGTGAACTCTTAAAGCTAATCCCAGACACTCTGCCCCTGTAACAGTGGAAAAGAAAGTGGGGCCCAACACCTTATGAGAAAAGGCAGAATGCAACACACTTGGCCCAATTTCCACCTGACTGAGAATGGCCACGCAAACCATACAGTCCCCCACTCAAAAACCATTCTACACACGCCCTGGAACCATCCACACACCAGATACAAACCTAAATGGCATCAGCACAATACTGTTTACTGACTGATAGAGCAAATCAAATACTATAGCACATTAGGTTAAATGTAGAGCGATGCTCTACGACGGATATGATTTCATTTGGACAGCATTGATAAGACTGATGTTTGTTAAAATTAGTACCTTGGTGTTTTATCATTAGAAAGTTTTTTTTACTACTTTTAGGACTGTCAGTGCGTCAGTTTTGCCACTTTGTTTTATTATTGATGCAGGCGAGTATTACGGAGAGAGAGGTGTTTTGTAATGTGGTCATATTTTGTAACGCCACAAGGTAGAGTTACAGAGAAATGAGGAATGATCTGGTTCAGACAGAGAGAAGTGGGACAAGGCGGTTGGGCATACAGATGTTGATCGCTTGCAATTAACATCATCTACTTGCCATCGTTTCTTGGATGCTACACTGAGTAGTGCTGCTGCCCGGGCACTGAATTAGCTGCGCCTTGGCATGTCACGACGTCACACTAGCTTTAGGACGTCACCGGTTTATGTGCAAAGAGCCTGTTGCACAATTTAAATATCACCCTGGGGTGCGTTTCCCAAAAGTATACGTTAGCAACTGAATGGGTCCCACTCTGTAAATTGCTCACGGGAACTTTTGAGAAACTCCAACAACCACTTGCTGCTTTTGCCACCCTCTGAAGGGGGGGGGTCATGCCCATAATTTTACGTTGTTACCTGCCTGCCAGGTGAAAACCATCGACTGCTGAGACACGTGAAGGACCTTCTATTTTTCATGATCAGGATTCAACATTCAATCTAATTCTGATAAACATTTTAATCAAAATTCAGATTTTTCTCAAAATATTTTACCACAGGCACAGACGATTCTAGCCACGGACACATTCCTCTGTGTATGTGTAATGTATTTTGTAATGGACTGGACACAGACCTGAAGCTTAGCAGTCAGCCATCTTTATTGTAGTCAGTTGTTCAACTACGGAAACCCAGCACACACACAATACAAACCCTGCTTTCACCGCATTAATTATTGCTGCCAGTAGATGGCAGTACATTACATCTCCCTCCTTAACAAGGAAAGAAAACATTTCATTGCTAATGAGTTATAACCAAATAAACAGTATTATGCCAACACAGATCTAAAACTGAAGTTCCCTAAGGGCTTACCACTCTATATTACCAAATAACCAATACCATAAGTGCGGTATTAGTATTAGTCGCAGTAGTCCCAGTACAGCAATAACTGAATACTGAACATTAGCTAACTGGGCTGTCTCATAACTTGGAAGGAGAGGTTACTAGCACTTCACTTCCACAGGCGTCTTTACCACACCTGCCCCTAGTGACAATACAACACTAGACCTATCAGTTATAGATTGAGTCTATTAGGAGTCTTCACAGTCCTGCCTCGCTTGGTGACGTACCGGCCAACTGGCTGAGTTTGAACAGAGCTATCCGGTTGGTCAGCTGATACTTCTGGTAGTTCTGAGGAAACTGGAAGATGTGGCTCCTTATCCGTGGATGGGCCAGATGGTTCTAGGCTCAACGTACATCCTATGGCGGGATTTGTTGGCAACAATGCTTCTACGAAGATGTTGGACATTGCGGCGATACTCTTTGTTTCGGCAGTCCACTACACATGATCGTGGCATGCTGTGTAGCCTAAGTACAACTGCAGGGGACCACTGTCGTTCGCCGGGATAGGGCTATATCCTTATTTCCTCTCCGGGCATTAGAGGCGCGTGTGGTTTGCTTGCCCTCTTTTGGTCATAATACAACTTTTGGGTGGCCTTGCCCTTGTCCAGTTGGCACTTGACCTTTACTGGGTCATAGGCGGCTGGGGCTAGCAGTGCTCGTGCGGCAGGCAGCTTATTTCGGGGTCTCCTGCCCATAAGCAGCTGGGCTGGTGACAGACCTACTGTCTCGAGAGGGGTTGTTCTGTAGTCCAGCAATGTGAGGTATTTGTCTTCAGCTTTACACCAAACCTTCTTTACTGTCTGGACTGCCCGTTCTGCGTCACCATTTGAATGTGATGTGTGCGGCGAAGACGTTTTATGTTTTATGTATAATGCCATAGTCCTTGCAGAAGTCTTTGAATTCTTCAGATGTGAATTGTGGGCCATTTTCAATCCAAAGAGTATTTTTTGCACAAGTAATGGTCACACTGCTTTCTTCCAGGAAGGTAGGAGGGGCTAACTGAGCATATATAGTATGAATGTCATCACTGCAGCTCATTCCTGATTGGAGGAATAAGCCACATTGCAACTGCCCCATGCTGCAACCGTCCCTACCCTACCTTATAGCTTTTAGTTTGTTCCCAAAGTCGCTGTTTTTCTGTCACAGTGTGTTTTGAGACATTCAAAATGGAAGTACCTTATATGATACAGGGTATTCTGAAAAAGTATAAAAAATCTACTTTAAACTTATAAGATGATAAGGAAAAAGCCCAGTGTATCTGCCCACGTATGTACATGATAACATGTATTACATGTCGCGACAAACTTATATATACAGGCTGTATCCAACTTACGACTCAGTTTCGTTCCGACAGACAGGATGAATGTCGAAATGGACGTCTGTTTTAATAGCGTAATCGCACTTGTGGGTGTGGAATGAGACTGGGAGATGTGTGTGAAGCTGGGTAGCATAGTGTTACCAGTTGTTCAGCCACACCAAATTATTTTTTGCATGCATTTACATTTTCTTAAAACTTCGGTTGTTTGGGCGAGTCGTTGTAAGTCGCATAGGTTGTAAATCAGGGACTGTCTGCAATGGAAGCTATTATATTTACTGTGCTGAGATGTATAAATTTATATACAAGTGTATAATGTGTAATTTAGGGGTGTAAAGATTAAATAGATGAAATTCTAAATAGGAGTGAATTGTCAGTGTACCAGCAGAGCTTTTGTTGAGTTGACCAGAATGTGAACTACTGACTTTGTCTTTCTCTGTAAACGTATATTCTCTTGGTAGAGAATGACAAGTTCTATTTGACTGTATTTTATCTTCAGTAAATTTCTGATTACAATTTCAAATTATAATGTGAATTTTTCTAATACCATTCAGCCCTGTTTCAAGGCAACTTTTAATATTTTATGTGACCCTTTTGCAGCAACAAGTGACATCTCATTTAGGCCTGTCACAATAATTACATTATCGACTTATCACGCACTATATGGCAGTGGTTCTCAAACTGGGGGCCGCGGCCCCCTGGGGGGCCACCAGATGGCGCTAGGGGGGCCGCATCGAAATTGTAGAATCTATAAAAAAAAAAATTATCTGTATGTAAATCAGGCTTGTCAACCTATGTAAAATATAATGTATTTTTAAAAAAAATAGAAGTATAAAAAAAATGTAAATATAAATTTTACATAGCACACTACGCTGCTATGGACATCATAAATTACTGTTCAGTATTCAGTACTTTTGTTGCACTTTTCAGACAATGTTAGTTTTACTGTCAAAACTGTTTTAATACAATGTTATATTTT